TGCGGTTTCAACCATCCAATACAGAAGCCGCTGGGAAAGCGGCAAAGATATCCGCAAACTGAGCGCAAGGCTCGGCAAATCCTCTTCTGACCAAGAATCTCGAAAGTCCGGGTCGATCCTGTAGCTGCCAGGTGTCGCGGTAGTCCAGGTGGCAACGGTGGACTGTCTCACAAAGATTGGCCAGGATTGATCATCAGAGACTGAAAGAATAAAAAAAACACAACTCAACATCCTCCGATAAGAAAATATGAGACCAATTGGCATATAAGCTTGGTGATCAAGTAAGATGAAGCAACCCCAGCCATGGAATAGATGTAGATATTGCAGAAATATTATAATATATAGAAATCATAAAATCATGAACCACTAGGATATTGCTAGTTAATTAAATATGATGAAACCACCTGCCCGGTCCATCAGCCAAGGAGCTTGATGAACGGCAACATGTTCTTGATCACCGGGTTGCTATCTTGATCCTGAGATTCCCAACTCATGGGGCTCTGGGTATGGTCATCCCACAATGAAAATATGGAAATCCAAATAGATCCAAGTTTTTTAACATAATCTATTTCCTGAATTCTGAATGGTGATGATTTAACCCATCATACCATCATACCCATCCCTGAATTCATGAGTTAATCCAACTTGGCTTGGTTATATATGTATATACACTCATATATCCCATAAAATCACAATGTTTCATAATTAAAATATAGGTGTGAGTCAAAATTGGGTACCCCAATACTTAGAATGTTTTTAAAGTAAAATTAGCCATTCCAAACTGTCGTCCCCTTGGTCCTAAATTTTGACCCATTCCCATATGAGCAGTGTTCAAAATCCCTCTGTCATTCCATTGAATCCTGGTTAAGAACGGGATTCCCCGATCTTGGACAACAAAAATCCCCTTCCTCGAACTAGTCATCATTAATCAACAATAATCATCCCTCTACAATCATCAATAATCATCTATAAGCATTAATCACCTATAATATCATCTATAATCATCAGTATAATCCTCTATAATCAATAATCATCATTAATCAACCAACAGGGGCACTGGGTTTAGCAGCCACGGCCCAGGCCTCCTCCGACATGTTCAGTTGCTTCGCCATGATGTCCGCCACGCTCTGACGAGACTTCACCTCCCGTGGTGCGTCTCTCGCGTAACCATGAGAGGTCTCATGGTGAAGCTAAGCCACAGAAAACAAAATGATTGGGGATATTTTATATTATATTATATTTATATTTATATATATTATGATAATATGTATACACAAAAATGTAAATACATATATATATATACAATTACAATTAATACAAATACAAATACGTGTGTATATATACATATATATTATGTGAATTTAAATGCATATATATATATACACATTGTATATATATATAAAAATAAACGCAGATTAAAATATTAATATACATAATGTATATATATATACATAATATATCTGTTTATTTACACATACATAAAATATACAATGTATATATATATACACATAATATGATAATTTAAATTAACATAATATAATATATATATATACATTTTATATATATACATAGTATATCTGTATGTTTTACATAATATGTATATGACAATATGATATGTATTTACATAATATGTATATATGTATATATACATATTATGTGTATATATATATATATATCTAAATACACAATACGTGTATATATATAGATTATACTTACATACATACATACATACATACGTACGTACGTACGTACATACATACATACATACATACATACAGACATACATACATACATGCATAACACATATGTATATTGTGAACAGAAGCTGGTTGCCCTTAGGGCCAGCGCGTCCCCTCTGCTCAGTGCAGCGCTGTCCTGCTGCGCTGACAGGGGTGGGGTGGGCACAAACCACTCATAGGTTATCAGCTCGCATGCTCAGCTGAGCAAAGGTGAGACCGGGCGTCTGTTCTGGGGGGCGAATGCTAAAGACCTTTCCAGGCAGATGTTTGCCCTGTAGCTGGGCTATGTGAAGGCTTGAAAAACAGGCATTGTTCAATGTGGTGCCTCACGTTGCTTTTTGGTCTGTTGGCCAGCCGCAGCTGCCTCCATTGATCAAGTCACAGCACAGGAGATGGCAGCGGGCAAATGCTTGACTGAAATGATGCAAGACGGTGGCGTGACGCAGCAGCATTCGGAAGGATTTTTCTCCTGAAGTTCTTTGCAAAAGCCCGTAGCGCCTGCCAAGCCTACAATTTCAATCGCCTGAGCCTCCATAGGCCCAAAGCCGCCACCTAGAACCAAGTCAGCATTCGGAATTAACTGCTTATTTCTCCTCAAGTTCTTTGCAAGAGTTTATAGTGTGTGTGCCAAGCCACACAAATTCAATCGCCTGACCCTCTGTAGGCCCAAGACGGCCGGCAAGAACCAAGTCAGCATTCCATAATGGGCTTTTTCCTCCTCAAGTCGCCAAGGTCTTTGCAAGAGCTCGTAGTGAGTGCCAAGCCATACAATTTCAATCGCTTCGCCATCTGTAGGCCCAAAGCGGTCACCAAGAACCAAGTCAGCATTCGATAGTTGTCATTGCTTTTCTCTCCTCGCAAGTTCTTTGCAAGAGTTCGTAGTGCGTGCCAAGCCATACAGTTGTGATGGCCTGACCATCTGTAGGCCCAAAGCGGTCAGCAAGAACCAAGTCAGCCTTCGATAGTTGTCATTGCTTTTCTCTCCTCAAGTTCTTTGCAAGAGCTTGTGGTGAGTGCCAAGCCATACAATTTCAATCGCTTCGCCATCTGTAGGCCCAAAGCAGTCACCAAGAACCAAGTCAGCATTCGATAGTTGTCATTGCTTTTCTCTCCTCGCAAGTTCTTTGCAAGAGTTCGTAGTGCGTGCCAAGCCATACAGTTGCGATGGCCTGACCATCTGTAGGCCCAAAGCGGTCAGCAAGAATCAAGTCAGCATTCGATAGCTGTCATTGTTTTTCCCTCTTCAGGGTCTTTGCAAGAGTTCAGTGAGTGCCAAGCCATACAATTTCGATCGCCTCACAACTAGCAAGGCCTTCAAACATTCAAATTCCGCATTTGCAATTGGCCATCGCGAAGCTACAAAGCGATGGAGCTTCGAGACTCATTCCTAATGATAGTTACTTGCCACACCACAAAACATAACTTCGACAGCGATTCGCCTGGATGCAAAAAGCAGCTGATGTGCAAAGACTGGCGGAAAGGCAACTGTGGCACAGACAAAATTCTGCGGCACCTTCTCCATTGATTCATCCCCGTGACATAAACTCTTGGACGATGATGGGGCAGATAATCTGCAGAGTTCAAAAAATGAACAAAAATATCCCACATAGGTGCGTGAGTTCGCACTTCAGCAACCCACAAGTCCAGAAGCGAAGAAGTGCTTCCTCCATGTCTGTGGCCTCAATCTTTGTTCTTCGAAAACCCAAAAAATCACACGCCAAGCGCGCAAAAACGTCTTTATTGTGCAGAATCAAACATTGTTTCTTTCTTTGAGTCAAAGTTCCATGTGAATGAGAGATGCAAAAATAAAAAGTACGTATAAAACGTCAAATATGTAAATCCAGTCATAAATACCTATATAACTGAAAAACCTTCCGATCTATCTCACTAGCGGTCTATCTTTCTATCTGTCCAGGCAAAGGTGTCATACTCTGAATTTTCAGGCGCTGCCCAGCTCATTACATTGTTAATCTCATCCTTCTCAGCGTGCGAGCGAAACATTTAAAAAAAAACTAAGCCATCCCGAAACTCCGCACACAAAGGCCATTGATGCAAGAAAACTAAAGCTGTGAAGCCGGTGCACTCCACCCCAGGACCTGCTCCAGCACGAGGAAGAAAGCTCCTCGGTAGCCTTGATGCACAATGCTACGTGTAACTTGCTGAAAAACACTGCTGCGAGGATCGGCAAAAAGACGACGTTGTCCAATCGCCTGAAGGCAGATATGGCACATGTCAAAGAATAGCCGGCGGAAGGAAAGTTTGAAATACAAAGAGACCTTCGGATGGAACCCTCAGCCGTGGAACACAACTGTCAAGTTGCAGAAAATGGCTGACATGGAGGTCCAGTGGTGACACCGTCGACATCCGGAAGCGCAGTGACGTCCATGTCCAACAGGTCCTCCGCACCCACTAGCTCATCGTACAGAAATCTCTGTGCATTCATGTAATATAGGTCATGCTGCATGTCAAACTGTAAATACCTGTATGCGCACTGCATGTGCAGATATGTATGTATGTATGTATGTATGTATGTCTGTCTGTATGTATGTATGTACGTACGTATGTATGTACGTATGCACGTATGTATTGACGTATGTATTGACGTATGTACGCACGTATGTACGTATGTACGTACGTACGTACGTACCGTACGTATGTATGTATGTATGGATGTATGTATGTACGTATGTATGTACGTATGTATGCGTGCGTATATAAGTATGTAAGTATGTAAGTATGTATGTATGTATGTATGTATGTACGTATCTATGTATGCATGCATGCATGCATGCATGTCTGTATGTCTGAATGTCTGTATGTATGTATGCATGCCTGCATGCATGCATGCATGTCTGTATGTCTGAATGTCTGTATGTCTGTCTGTCTGTGTGTCTGTCTGTCTGTATGTATGTTTGTATGTTTGTATGTCTGTATGTATATGTGGATGCATGCATGCATGGCATGCATGTGAGCATGCATGCGTGTTTTGAAAGTTAGTATCTAGAGGTACATGTGCCCACGCATGTCTGCACATTCAATCCAATGTATGTGGTAGAGCATGTGTCGACACATTCACACACACATATATATATATATAACTAATTATAAAAACTATATATATATATCTGAGCACATATGCCAATAAGTGAGCACGTACGTCCGTATGTAAAGACGTAGCTTAAACATGTAGAATGTAACCTCACCTCCGCACTCTTGCAAATTGAAAAACATAGCTTCTCCGTGATTGTCTTGTCAAATGACAAGAAAACACTGGTGCCAACAAACCTTCATCCGTCATCCGTCCTTGCGAACTCACCTTCCAAACATGAATAATTTTCCTCCTGACTAGCTGGGTGTGTCAATTCTAAATAAACACATATTCCGGCGAACATCAGGTGCGCAAACCTTGGCACTTGTGAGTGTCAAAATGGAAACTTGAACAACTGAGAGGCGTCAAAGAAAGCACCTGTTCAAGAACGAAAAAGGTGGTCGACTCTGTCAGTACCTCAGGATCAACATGCCGAGAAACAGCGAACATCACATTGCTGCTATGCTCATCCCGGCCATACAAGGATTGCAAGGCAGGCGCCAACCAGGAAGAAGAATCCACATAAGGATCTGCCACAAAAGCGCAGCCCTGTTGCTGCAGCCAGCGCTCGGCAGCGCCAATGCCGCCGCACAGAAGCTGCAACCGCAATGGCCGTTCCAAGCGCGGCAGCTCACCAAATGCATCGCTCCAATCCGGTGAAGGAAACCCTTCGCAGTCACCACAACGATCACCCTTTCGCAAGTAGGGACTTCCTCAAGCCAAACTTCAATCGGATTAAATTCAGAATCCACCCTCCACACGCGCACCCCCGGCAAACCGAAGGATGCGATGAAGATGATGGCGATGTCACATTCTGAGGATCTTGATGTTGAACTTGAGAAGATGAAGCTGACGCTGCACTGTTGGAAACTAATACACGCCGAGGTGATGAAGATGCAGAATCCGATACAACAACACGCCGCTCAAACTCAGGTCTCCCACCACGAGCCTTTGGAATACCCTTTAGGCCGAGGACCCAACCAAACAGGCTGAATGGGTTGAACCAAGGGAACAGATTCCACTTCCGCAGGCTCTTCCTCAGATGATGCTACCTCAACAGTGATCTGCCCCTCGCCAATGACGTCTACTGCAGTGTCTTCTTCAGAGCCTGAAGCTGTCGGTTCCCAAGAGGAATACAGAGGGCGCTGTTACCCACCAGAGTGAGCAACAGGAATGTCGTCCCACTGTCGGCCCTGATTCAAGTTGTATTGAGCCCACGCAAGCCTCTTCCACCTTGCAGAACCGCCGCCTCGAATCCCACGACGAATGCCGACTTGGCCTCCAAAACGAGAGCGATCAGCCATGAACGCGGGGTTTTACAGGGACCCCAAACCCTAATGAAAAGATTCCCCCAAAACGTCAACAATCAATCAATGACCGATACGGCTGATAACCAGTTGAATCGTCCAAAATCAATAATAAAAGGGGGTTTACAAAAACAACAGGACGCGACCACCCGAGGCAACAGCTGCGGCCTGTTTTCATCTTGAGCAAAAAGTAACCAAACAACCCCATGAGGAGACGTCTTTACAATGAACTATATATATATATTTATATATATGGGTATGATTTAGCCCATATATTTCAAGTATAATACATACATTATATATATATGTATATATATATACATAATATATATATATACAAATATATATATATATACATAATATATATATATATATGTACATATATATATATTTGTATATATATATATATACATAATATGTATTTGTATATATATACATAATATGTATTTTTGTTTCTATATATATACACATAATATGTGTATATCATTGTATATCTATATACACACATATTATACATAATATGTATATATACATAATATGTATGTATATATAATATGTATATATATATATATATATACAGAATATGTATGTATATATATATATATACATACTATTTGTTTTGCATCGCACAAGCCGCAGCTGCAGCTGAGTGTAGAATCCAACTGTTGGCTATCTGCTTCGCAGAATGAAACTGAACTTGTGAACCTTGCAGCACATGATTTTGTGTCTGAATCACAGAATAGGAGGAAAAAATCAAGTTATCAAACAAGGGAAGAGAAGCAAAAAGGAGCCAAAGGGGCGTAGATATGCCCGCTTTCGATGACGAAACTTTCGATGACGAAACTTTCGATGACGAAACTTTCGGTGACGAAGCTTTCGGTGATGAAACTTTCGGTGCAGAGGTGCGCGATGGAGTGTCAGCAAAGAATGTTGAGTCTTTGTTAGGCCAAGTCGTTTACTAAATTTCTTTAAAGAATGTTGTTGATGTCAAACTGATCTACGTGACCACTTTCTCTATAAGCATCTGCATAGGTTTCGATTAATTAGCCAGTGAGCTCTGGGTTTGCCTACTCGTCTTACATGTTCAGTTCTAGGTATGAGTGAATTAGGTAGAAAAAGGACCTGGCGCATGGGATCCAGTGGGTCTGCTCGAATGATGTGTCCTAAGAGCTGATTTTTTTCTTTTCAACCATAGTTTTGAGAATTCTATAACTGTTGCACTATAATGATTTTTGATAAGTTCTTTTACCGATGCGCTGGTCATTGTTCTGTCAACACTTGTGGGTGGGACATGTGGAATTCTCCGATATCCTTTGATCTGAAAAGCATCCAATCGATGAAGTTCTGACTGGTTAAGCTGGATAGTTTCCAACCCATATAAAAGCTTACTCCGAACACATTATATATAATATACATATATATATTGTATAATATGTATATATATATATGTTATATATATGTTTAAGGTGTATGATATTTAGATAATATCTCATATATATAGGGCATTTTGTCAGTTAGTGCAAACTAACTGGGATGCACCCCTAAGCAAGGTCCCAAAAAATGGCGATTTTAGGATGTTTTATAGGATATGATATGACCAGTTATATATATATATATATGTTATAGACTATGGGTTTGTCCAAAATGGGGAATACCGCAAAATGGTAAGTTTAATGGCGAAAATGATGATGAACAACTGGATTTTAGAGGTAATTTCCCTTGTGGAAATGGAGATTTCCTAGCCAGATCATTTGCGCGTTAAAACCCCATGGTTTTAGGGATCCCCCATGACTTAAGAACCCATGGCTGACGGCCCCACCGAGTTGGCCAACGTCTTCATGAAGAGTTTCGCCTTCCGTGGACCCAACCTCGGCAATCTCTTCGCTTCCCTTGGGCAACGGTGTGTCAAGACTTTAAAAAACCGAACGATTTGTTTGGCAGAGTTTGAGTTTGCCATTCGATATCAATCATGTGAAAAATGTTTCTTTGAAACTCTCATGCCAACTCATGCCGAATGATTTGTTCAAAGAGTTGGGCCCATTGGGCCCCATCTGAGTTCCATGACCCTGGGAGGAACTGGATCAAACTCGACATGTGCGCAGCTCTGCGGACCTGCAGCATTCCATGAATCTCAGGCTTGTCATGATGCAAATGGTTTAAATAGCTGATAAATGATGATAAATGGCTGGTAAATCATAGATGGTAAATTCATGAAATCAGACTAAACGTTAAAGTTTAAATGTTCCCTAAAAATTGGTTCCATTATGTTCCATTGGTATTGAACCCATTTTCTACAGCATGGCCATGCCTTGTTGATCTGCAGGCCAGTCTTGGCCAGCACTTCCTGTAGGGTTCTGGTGATGGCCCGACTCATCATCTCCTGCAGTTTTCAGCCATTTTCGGCTGAAAAAATGGAAGCGCACGTCTCTGTAGACCGAGGTCCTTAGGCACCTCTTTTTGCAAAGGATGCAATGCCACTTTCAGCAAACCTTGGCTGCGTGGATATGGGGCTGGGTTTGGCTCAACATAGGAGTACCAATTGATGCAGAAATTGTATGAAATTGTGTCATGTTTCCTACTGAACATGCTGCTATGAAAAAGCACATATTTTTTGAATTTAAATCATCTATAGATACTTTCATGGGCCCTTTTCCAGAGCTACCTTAAATTACCGAGGGTAACCCATCACAGCGGAGAAACCATTTTCATCGTGAATCTCGTGCCATAGTTGAGATGCTTCCGCCAATGCATCCTGCACCACCAGATCGGATGACAGCAAATCACGATGTGTCAATGGAAAAATTGATCCTCCGAAATTGCAATGTTGATAGAAAATTGACCAATGGCCTTGGGATTTTCGCAAGTTTCAGACAAACCCAAAGCATTCCAGGGCTATGGTATGTCAGGTAAGGACCACAAAGGGGCTACGTGATGCTATAAGTGGACCCACAAACGTGGCTCAACATGGCTCAACAATTTGTAAGACCTCAGTTGGAGATCCATTGCAAACGACTTTTGCAGATCTTGCCTGGTAAAATCGGGCACAGCTGATGGCAATGCGCTGCGAATGATCTTTGTAGTCCCGATAGGCGGCTGGGCAGGCGCCGGCAATCACACATGACTGGGGAATCCCTTATCAATTGGCATTTCAATGGGAGAATCATCTGTAGATGGGAATTTTTCCATGGCCGTATTTGATTTACCGGACAATGTCAAGAGAGTTCAAGTTTGCAGGTGTTCTTTTCCCCATAGGTGCTCATGATTGCAAGTCCTCATTTCATTGTGCAACTTCCAGCGTCCATCGGTGCTCGAGGCACTGAAGATCGTTGATCTACCCATGTCTCAATCTCGACATGGCCCAAACAATCGGATAGTCACTGACAGTTCTACAAAACAAAAATGACAACCGATGCCAAGATACGGGACTCCGAGACGCGTTTGTTGTAAGCAACTGCCCGCGGCCTCGGAAAGTTGCTTCCGTTTTCGAAAAGGCCCCAGTTTTGTTTGCTGTAGCAGTTGCCCAACTCTTCGACAGGCTGCAGGGTTGTGTCCACCAAGTAGATCTTCGGCAGCACCTTGAAGTGGACCTAGGAGGAATGTAGCCAGAATCACATCTAAGTCTCGTTGAAACGCATCAGACTTCAATTTGAAGCATCATCACAAACCATCAACTAAATATAACTATATGGTATCTATAGAAATCATGTCTGGCATCAACTTAAGCATTAGAAAAAAAAACGCCATTGCGTCGTTTGTCAGGAACGGAGGCTCAACTCTGGGATTCCTGGGATTCCTGGGATTCCTGGGATTCCTGGGATTCCAGCCAGAACGTCTTGACTTCTGGTCAGAATCTGCTCGAGGTTGTCCTGGAGCCATGGAGGGAGCCATGGAATCCAAAAACAGGCTACATAATTTGAAGTGCTGCAAGGCACTACAAACCGACAAGGCTTCAGAGTCATGGAAATCTTGCTTTTTGTGTGATGGCGCTGTTTTGAAGCGGCAAATACGGACTCAGAAAAGACACAATAGGATGGACCCATGGCTGCAGACAAACGCGAGAATGATGACGCCACTGTGTCAGAGAAAGCATCGGGATCAGTTTGGGCGGGTGTTTGTGTGTGGGTGTGTCTGTTTGCTTGCGCGGGCGCATATGTGCTAATATGGGTTGTGCTAAGTGAAATACATGCAGTGACAGTCTTGTCTTGACACCTTTTTGACCTGATTCTGCAATGTCGTTGGGTGCACTGGCTGTCGTTCTGCGTGGCAGGCGCGCCACTTTGAGAGCGTGACTGCTCTATCCTGCACACCTGCCATGCAACGCACATGCAACACACATGCAACACACATGCAACACGACATGCAACATGAGCTTTTTACCTGTAAATTTACAGTCAACGTGCAGGATTTGACGTTTGCAGCCCCAACTCCGGTCTTAGAATGGAAAGTGTAGATTTTTGCCCCCGCGGCCACTTTGCTTGGAAATTTACAGGGAAAATGCTCGTGTTGCATGTGTGTTGCATGTGTGTTGCATGTGTGTTGCATGTGTGTTGCATGTGTGTTGCATGTGCGTTGCATTGGCAGGCCCATACAAATCACACCCGTGAAGTGGGGAAGTAGAAAACAGCGTGGCAGGCGCAAGAGTTGTAGGTGGCAGGGGCAGACTTTGGAAGCTGAGCGCCTTGGATATTACATTGTGGTGGTGGCCCGTAGCATCCACCTTTGTGGGGTTGTCGCATATTATATAGAATAAGCTTTGACAACCATCTTGGGTAAATTTCACAAGCTGATGGTTAGCCCTTAGCATCCACCTTTATTGGGCTGTCACAGATTACAGAAGCGCATGCTTTGACAATGCGTAAATTTCAGAAGCTGATGTTGTCGCATCGATGTGTGTATGTGTGCTGATCTACATCCACATGCATATCAACAACAGTTAAAATGAACTCGGAACCCAAAAAAACCTCACCGGACTCAGAAAAGACACAATAGGATGGACCCATGGCTGCAGACAAACGCGAGAATGATGACGCCACTGTGTCAGAGAAAGCATCGGGATCAGTTTGGGCGGGTGTTTGTGTGTGGGTGTGTCTGTTTGCTTGCGCGGGCGCATATGTGCTAATATGGGTTGTGCTAAGTGAAATACATGCAGCGACAGTCTTCACACCTTTTTGACCTGATTCTGCAATGTCGTTGGGTGCACTGGCTGTCGTTCTGCGTGGCAGGCGCGCCACTTTGAGAGCGTGACTGCTCTATCCTGCACACCTGCCATGCAACGCACATGCAACACACATGCAACACACATGCAACACATATGCAACACGACATGCAACATGAGCTTTTTACCTGTAAATTTACAGTCAACGTGCAGGATTTGACGTTTGCAGCCCCAACTCCGGTCTTAGAATGGAAAGTGTAGATTTTTGCCACCGCGACCACTTTGCTTGGAAATTTACAGGGAAAATGCTCGTGTTGCATGTGTGTTGCATGTGTGTTGCATGTGTGTTGCATGTGTGTTGCATGCGTGTTGCATGTGTGTTGCATGTGCGCTGCATTGGCAGGCCCATACAAATCACACCCGTGAAGTGGAGAAGTAGAAAACTGCGTGGCAGGCGCAAGAGTTGTAGGTGGCAGGGGCGAGACTTTGGAAGCTGAGCGCCTTGGATATTACATTGTGGCGGTGGCCCGTAGCATCCTCCTTTGTGGGGTTGTCGCATATTATATAGAATAAGCTTTGACAACCATCTTGGGTAAATTTCACAAGCTGATGGTTAGCCCTTAGCATCCACCTTTATTGGGCTGTCACAGATGACAGAAGCGCATGCTTTGACAATGCGTAAATTTCAGAAGCTGATGTTGTCGCATCGATGTGTGTATGTGTGCTGATCTACATCCACATGCATATCAACAACAGTTAAAATGAACTCGGAACCCAAAAAAACCTCACCGGGTTCTTCAAAAAAACAGCCATCCACAGGAAACCACAGAGATACCCTGCTTACCCCCGCAACCCCCAACTTCAATGTTGTGATCGAAAGTGCCGAGCATCATCAACAGAAATGGCTGTTTTTTTTGAAGGCCACCAAACACAAAATTCAGAAGGCAACATTGAAGTGGGGGACGGGGGGGGCATGACCTCTGTGGTGTGGTAGTACTTCATGGGATGGCTGTTTTTTTTGAAGAACCCGGACTCAGAAAAGACACAATAGGATGGACCCATGGCTGCAGACAAACGCGAGAATGATGACGCCACTGTGTCAGAGAAAGCATCGGGATCAGTTTGGGCGGGTGTTTGTGTGTGGGTGTGTCTGTTTGCTTGCGCGGGCGCATATGTGCTAATATGGGTTGTGCTAAGTGAAATACATGCAGTGACAGTCTTGTCTTGACACCTTTTTGACCTGATTCTGCAATGTCGTTGGGTGCACTGGCTGTCGTTCTGCGTGGCAGGCGCGCCACTTTGAGAGCGTGACTGCTCTATCCTGCACACCTGCCATGCAACGCACATGCAACACACATGCAACACGACATGCAACATGAGCTTTTTACCTGTAAATTTACAGTCAACGTGCAGGATTTGACGTTTGCAGCCCCAACTCCGGTCTTAGAATGGAAAGTGTCGATTTTTGCCCCCGCGGCCACGTTGCTTGGAAATTTACAGGGAAAATGCTCGTGTTGCATGTGTGTTGCATGTGTGTTGCATGTGTGTTGCATGTGTGTTGCATGTGCGCTGCATTGGCAGGCCCATACAAAACACACCCGTGAAGTGGAGAAGTAGAAAACTGCGTGGCAGGCGCAAGAGTTGTAGGTGGCAGGGGCGAGACTTTGGAAGCTGAGCGCCTTGGATATTACATTGTGGCGGTGGCCCGTAGCATCCACCTTTGTGGGGTTGTCGCATATTATATAGAATAAGCTTTGACAAACATCTTGGGTAAATTTCACAAGCTGATGGTTAGCCCTTAGCATCCACCTTTATTGGGCTGTCACAGATTACAGAAGCGCATGCTTTGACAATGCGTAAATTTCAGAAGCTGATGTTGTCGCATCGATGTGTGTGTCTGTGTATGTGTGCTGATCTACATCCACATGCATATCAACAACAGTTAAACTGAACTCGGAACAAAAAAAAAGCCTCACGGACTCAGAAAAGACACAATAGGATGGACCCATGGCTGCAGACAAACGCGAGAATGATGACGACACTGTGTCAGGGAAAGCATCGGGATCAGTTTGGGCGGGTGTTTGTGTGTGGGTGTGTCTGTTTGCTTGCGCGGGCGCATATGTGCTAATATGGGTTGTGCTAAGTGAAATACATGCAGCGACAGTCTTGACACCTTTTTGACCTGATTCCGCAATGTCGTGGGGTGCACTGGCTGTCGTTCTGCGTGGCAGGCGCGCCACTTTGAGAGCGTGACTGCTCTATCCTGCACACCTGCCATGCAACGCACATGCACCACACATGCAACACACATGCAACACGACATGCAACATGAGCTTTTTACCTGTAAATTTACAGTCAACGTGCAGGATTTGACGTTTGCAGCCCCAACTCCGGTCTTAGAATGGAAAGTGTAGATTTTTGCCCCCGCGGCCACGTTGCTTGGAAATTTACAGGGAAAATGCTCGTGTTGCATGTGTGTTGCATGTGTGTTGCATGTGCGTTGCATTGGCAGGCCCATACAAATCACACCCGTGAAGTGGGGAAGTAGAAAACAGCGTGGCAGGCGCAAGAGTTGTAGGTGGCAGGGCGAGACTTTGGAAGCTGAGCGCCTTGGATATTACATTGTGGTGGTGGCCCGTAGCATCCACCTTTGTGGGGTTGTCGCGTATTATATAGAATAAGCTTTGGCAACCATCTTGGGCAACTTTCACAAGCTGATGGTTAGCCCTTAGCATCCACCTTTATTGGGCTGTCACAGATTACAGAAGCGCATGCTTTGACAATGCGTAAATTTCAGAAGCTGATGTTGTCGCATCGATGTGTGTGGATGCGTGCTGATCTTCATCCACATGCATATTAACAACAGTTAAAATGAACTCGGAACCAAAAAAAACTCACCGGACTCAGAAAAGACACAGTAGGATGGACCCATGGCTGCAGACAAACGCGAGAATGATGACGACACTGTGTCGGAGAAAGCATCGGGATCAGTTTGGGCGGGTGTTTGTGTGTGGGTGTGTCTGTTTGCTTGCGCGGGCGCATATGTGCTAATATGGGTTGTGCTAAGTGAATTACATGCAGCGACAGTCTTGACACCTTTTTGACCTGATTCCGCAATGTCGTTGGGTGCACTGGCTGTCGTTCTGCGTGGCAGGCGCACCACTTTGAGAGCGTGACTGCTCTATCTATCCTGCACACCTGCCATGCAACGCACATGCAACACACATGCAACACACATGCAACACACATGCAACACGACATGCAACATGAGCTTTTTACCTGTAAATTTACAGTCAACGTGCAGGATTTGACGTTTGCAGCCCCAACTCCGGTCTTAGAATGGAAAGTGTGGATTTTTGCCACCGCGACCACTTTGCTTGGAAATTTACAGGGAAAATGCTCGTGTTGCATGTGTGTTGCATGTGTGTTGCATGTGTGTTGCATGTGCGCTGCATTGGCAGGCCCATACAAATCACACCCGTGAAGTGGAGAAGTAGAAAACTGCGTGGCAGGCACAAGAGTTGTAGGTGGCAGGGGCGAGACTTTGGAAGCTGAGCGCCTTGGATATTACATTGTGGCGGTGGCCCGTAGCATCCACCTTTGTGGGGTTGTCGCATATTATATAGAATAAGCTTTGACAACCATCTGGGGTAATTTTCACAAGCTGATGGTTAGCCCTTAGCATCCACCTTTATTGGGCTGTCACAGATT